ATGTCTCTGGGTCCATTCTGTTCATCAGTTTGTTCTGTTCATTATATTCCACAAATAAGTGAGATCCTGCGATATTTGTCTTTCTCTGATTGGCTTATTTCGCTTAGCATAATACTCTCCAGGTCCTTCCATGTCGTCTCAAATGATGAGATCTTTCTTACAGCTGCATAGTATTCCATTGCGTACGTCTTTGAAAAGATGCTTGTGATAATACTTAATAAAAACTCAACTCCGATTGAAGTTGCCAGAATATAAATACTATTATACATGATGGGTTTAGAACGCTATCACTGTTATTTTGGCTTGATTTAGAGCTAAGAACTGTGACCCATTAACAGAGATCTGAATGAGGTTATTCATAAAACTAAATTTTCAGAAAACTCATCCAACTTGACCTCTCAATATTTTGTGTTTTACAGTTATTTTCGTATTATAAACATATTTTATTAGTCAAAGTACTCTCATTATTTTCCAAGATTTAGTAGAGATTCCATTTGTGAATACATAACATTAGGTAAAAAACAAGCAAAGAATAAATACTTTTATTAAATAAAATCAAAAGGAAAATACTATCTTGTTTTCTAGGAGTCCTAATGAAATAATACTGAGAGTATTCTAATTTCATAACTTAATTTGCAAGATCAACTCTTTTGGTATTACTCAGAGCCTATGTATCACATTTAACACTTCAATACTGCAAATATTCCTTCTTCGACGCCGGCCTTCTTGAAATTCTTCATGCCTTAAACGGTTCCTTGTTTCTCTTTAAACTGTTTGGTATCTTTGCAAATTACTTTTCCAGCATTTAGCCTAGAGATGGTACTTGATAAAAAAAAATGTTAGAGTAGCTCATAAATTACACATTTTGGCATTTGGGTCCAAATCCTCAATGAGACATTTCTCCTAGGCCACTCCCCTTGCCAAAGCATGCTCCAGCACCGGTCACGTCTGGGTGTTTTGTAGTTTCTCAGTATTCTCATACTTTACAAAGTGTTTACTGACTACCCTTATTTCCAGTATTTATGTTCCCCCACCGGGACAAATCTGTTACAGTTAAGGATATTAATGCAAAACTTCTGACTTGAAAGCAGATTTGCAGTTTACTTTCCTATTAGTTAAATTCAATGGTCTCAAGCAAAGCCATTTTGAATTCTTTTGAGCAGTTAGAAATCAGAAACTCAGTGACTTTCTCTATAGTCTCATATCGACTGGTAATAAAAAGGAGCAATGAGGAATTTACAACACACATCAAAGGAAACAAGATTCTGTTTTTCTATTTATATCTGAAATACTTGAGTTCAAAACTCAGCTACAAATACAGGGATTGGCAAAAGTAGATTTACAGTTGTGAGTACAAGCAAGTTTATTCTCTATATGTACAACTGTAAACCTACTTTTGTCAACTCCCCTATAGTTGTTGCAATGCATTTGGTTAAGTAAATTCATGTTAGTAACAGGTCTAAAAAAGGTCTGCCTGTGCATTCAGTGCTGGGAAGACAACAGCTGAAAGACCATGGTACCCAAAGCAAGGCATGTAGTACATACAAGCCTTTTCTTATTTCTTAATAAATGGTCTAAATTCACTAAATATTCTGACCCTGCTGGGCACTACTCATAGATAGGTTTTGGACAGAAAAAGATAGCTGCATGCCAGAATGTTTCGGCATCTGAAGGCTTTCAGTTGAGGAGAAGATTAAAAAATAATTGAGAGTAATTAATAACTGTCAGTTTTATTCAGAATCAGATTTCAACCATCTCTAGGGAAATCAATAACTGCTGATCTAAAGTAAGTCATTTAGACTCTCGAAGGCTCACTCAAAGAAACAATAGCATAATAGACACAACAGTTCTAAACTGCAAAACAACCAAAACCTTATAAACTCTCCAAAACTAATCTTGACCATCAATTAAAATATGAAGTTAAAACAAACAGAAACATTTCTCTATTACCATCTTACTCAAAAGATGGCAATTTCAATTTTTTTTTTTTAACCTCTAAAAAAACTGCTTTCACTCGTCTGACAATAAAAACTAGGAGGGCCCTGCCAGTTTGGCTCAGCGGTTGGAGCAGGGGCCTGCGGACCAGAGACCCGGGTTTGGTTCCTGCTAGGGGCATGTACCAAAAAAACACCCAAAAACTAGGAGGCTCTTATTCATTTTGATTTTTATTATACACCATAGGCATGTGGACTAACTAGAATAGGATGATTCTCTATACTCTTAATATCACAGGAAATATACCCCCCCTTTCTGATATTGGAGAGACACTTCAGATAATAATTTTGGTATTAGTTTAGGGCAAAGTAAAAGACACCACGGAAGGCAGTATATAAATGACATAATTATGAAGCTACTTTTGGAAGCTAGTGTAACTTGCTAATTGTTACTGAGAACAAGGCTGTACAGTACTTAAATTGCTGATGGTTAAGTTCTCACTTAACATCAATAGGTTCTATGACTTTCAATAAAACGATCTACAATGAAACCAATTTCACTATAGGCTGATACAAACAAGAGTTCAGTTTCTAAGGAATCAACATTATAATGAAATAATGTTAGTGAAGTATTTGCTCTACTCAGCTACTTAAATTCTGAACACCTACTGTTACTGAACACCAAAGAAAGAGCAGTCCCTAAGAATCTTCCATTCTTGTTTCTAGCTTCTCATGACCAATGACTTCTCAAAGGCTTTGAAAAGAGTGAAAGTCCTTGCTTATTGTAAATCTTTTCTAATCACCCAGCAAATGTCTGCCCCTTGTGCTGATGTGTGCTTTAACAATCACGGCTGCTTTGGCACTAATGGAGTATGGGTGAGTCTCTGGAGAGTATGCTATTGTATTCCTGGGGCAAATTAAGCTTAGCATAGACATATTTAACCTTGTTTATGTATTCACCAAGAAAGGATTTTATTTTTTTTGTCAGTCAGTCAGGAACACATATTCAATTTCAATTTTGAGGTAGGTAGTAGATAATAATGACAAAATAGACCCTCTAGGATGTAACCTCTGTTCACCTTTCCAGGCCTGTCTCATGAATCCCCAAGTGGCATAGGCTAGGTGCTCAGTCAGTGATGCACCACTGGTGCTGGCACACTGCTCTTACATTCAGCTGAAGCATTGCTTCTTTGGAAGGAAGTTCATATCCCTAACTGAGTTATCACCCTTCTTTTATTTTCTTCTAGAGTCCTGGCATTATCTCCATAACAAATGCTCTCACCTACTACCACTTTATGACTATTAGAGGGAAGAATTTGTGTACCTGTCTATACTTGTCTATCTTCAGTGATAACATACCGTATGTAATCTATACATGCTTCTTGAAAGAACAGTGAAATATATTCTATTTACCAGTTTTACTTAGGTCTTTTCACAAAATTAAGCAGAGATCTGTTCATTTTTGACTTCGTAAACTTGGAGAAGTTAGTTCATGCAAACTTTCTATTTTGTCCTAAGATAAAACTAGACTAGTCTGCATATTACTAAGATGAAAAGTTTATTACAAATTACATATTACTATTAGCCCTAGCACAAAAGGGCTCTTTTGAATCTGAAGATGTAAGAGCATTCAGGACAGTGCCTGGGCCAGCAGTGCAGGCATTGAGAGGACATGGACTTGATTCTAAACCTGAAGCCACAGAGGGAATTCAACACACTATGTGGCCTGTTGATGGACTATCTTTTAAGACTGCTTAGAAAGAAGACATACTTCTGCCACTGGCACAGCTAAGGTGCACCAAGAACTAATTATCAGGTCAAAACACATTCTAGGAGAGATAGAGGCAAAAGATTCTGGAGCCAGGAAGGTCAAGAAGAGAAACTGAACCTAGAAATCTGTGGCCTGCAGTGCCGGTTATCCCATCCAGCCCCTCAATAAGACTGTGACAGAGGCAGTCCATCTGATGCGTAAACTGATGCTTAGTGCTCTTCTGTATCCTACCATTCCACCAGAGCCACAAAAGGAATATCTGAATATTCCGTGGGCTTAAAACTACCTACACTGCCCTTTGGGTTATAGAACAGGATTCAGTAGTAACTCTTTGAAAACAACTCATTAAAGAAAATGCTAATTGTGTCTTTCTCCCACCTCCCAAAGAGCTTGTGTTTCAAAAGGTCAGAATGGCTGGGGTCAAAAATAAGCTGCCTCCCACTCTGTTCAGAATCTACTGAGTATACATTTTTATATATTCCACAAATTTTTCAAATAAATTATCTCTTCTTCTACCTTCCACCTACATCCCCCAAAATGTCAAATTAATGTCTTAGAATTGACTCTCTAGCATATTCAACCTTAAATATATATATATATGTGTGTGTGTGTATGTGTGTGTACACACACATATTAGATTCATGTAGCATATAAAAAGCTAGGTGACATAGCTTTTGGAAAGTCTAGTTGGCAGCAGAGTTGAACAACAGATGGTCACTAAGAAAACAGACCTAGAAGGGTGACTTACTCAGCATGGATATGCTCATAAGAGAGTGCTATTTTGGAGGATACCCTTAAAATCCTTGACCTAATGCAAAGCCCAAGAGACAGTTCAGAGTAAGAACAATTATCACAGCCAGATTCCTTGTCTAAAACAAAACATACCACTTTTAACCAGCTTTAGAAAAGCCAAAAATGTAAAATAAACAAATATATCAACAGCTTACAGCAGCCTTTATATTTTTGAAAAATACCCAGCCACACATTCCTAGCTTTTCTTAGATGTTTCCTAGAATTCTTTCCAAGTAGTTCAGTTTTTAAAAATAGGTGGCTTTCAGGTCTATATCTTGTTTCTACACAAAGAGCTACTAGGAGACCCATTTTAAAATAGTTCTCTCTCCGTTTTTAACCTTTATGGGGAATTAATAGCTGAGAACCATATCTAATTAATACTATATATAATAGGCAATTTTTAGCTAAGACAATCCATGGATCAGTGGATTTGAAAACTATTTATCATCACCCACTAAGTTATATAAAAGATTCCAGTTCAAGTTGACAGACAAAACACAAACTAGATTCAAAGTGCTGTATTAAAAAAACAACAAAAATACAGTTTGCATTTTAGGGTAATTAAAATAAGTGGAGACCTGACTCCAAAAAGAATGAAAACACACGGTTATCATTTTATAATTGTTCTATTTTGCTCTTTTCATTCTAAGAATGTAGTTTTATTTGGAGAATAACAGCTGGTCAAATTTATGCTTAAGACACTTATCCATACTTAACCAGAGAGGTTGCAGAAGCTACTGCAACAACCAGCTATTCTAAACCCTTTTATGTTAAATATGAACACCTTCCCAGCAATATTCTTAAGTCACATCTCATTTATCTTCCTCCTTAGACCTGCATAGGCTTACTTTAAATAGTTTAAAAACCTGTAATAAACTACAGAGTTCGTTAAGAGTAGAGGTACTCTGGTTACTGGTCAAAATAGTGTGGCCAGAGGTAAAGCAAGTATTATTAAATGAATGCAATCCTTATTTACACAAATTGAACTTTTTTCCCCAGTAAAAAAGCTAGTCCAATATATGGTTTCATTCCACAAAGATGTATCACTTCCAAATCACAGTGAAAGAAACTTGAATCAATTTACCATTTTTTTTTTCCTAAGTGCCTTTAGAGATACCTCACTAAAAACTGGTATCGGACACAACAAAATGACATTTGCAGAATGTAATATTGTAGTGACAGTACTGAGACTGATTGTTACAAACTCTTTGAATATTAAACGGTTACATCCTAATTATATAGAACATTGGTCCAATAACAAAATAGAGAACAGCAGCTGGGAATTTATCTCATTCAATGTTGAGAGATAAAAGTTAACCATTCTTTCCATTATTTTCTGCAGATAAGTCCCCTTTTTATATTGAAATCCGATGGCAATTAAATTCAGGTATCTTTCCAAGCTACTGCGTGAAGAGGATGCTGAAGGCCATCACTATACAGCATACTGCAACATAAGGACTCTTCCGTTCACCTGTTGAAAATAAGGACAATATTCAAGTGGATTAACTGAATAGCTAACAGATATAATTAGGTTATTACTTACTGTTAGAAAAGAATACATAAAAATCAAGATAAAGTTCTTGTTATGAGATCCATATATTTGGGGGTGAGGTGGGTAAAACAAGAACTAGATGAAACATAAAAGCAAGTACAATACAGAATACACTAAACTAGATCAATTTATTTCTAAGCGCACCTCCTTTTCATTTGTTTAGAAAACTCTCAACGTGCCATTCCTGTGCCGCTGCGTAAACCCAGATATTTAAAAAATACAACACAGAATGTAGGCCTGAGATCCAAGAGAAATGATCTATACTCAATTAGGGGCAAACAAATATTGCTTTGCCCTGCCAGTGTGGCTCAGTGGATTGAGCATTGTCCCATGGGCTGAAGGGTCTCGGTTTGATTCCCGGTCAGGGCACATGCCCAGGTTGTGGGCTTGATCCCCACTGGGGGGGGGGTGGGGTTTGCAGGAGGCAGCAGATCAATGTTTTCTTGCTCACATAGATGTTTCCCTCTCTCTCTCTCTCAAAAATAAATGAATAAATAAATAAATAAATAAATCAGTAACATATTTAAAAAAACAAAACAAATATTGTTTATTTTTTTCTGCAGAAAGGGAAATTACCACTCAAAAAAATTCAACATATAATTTTTAGTCATATTTTTTTCCTCATTGGTAGCAATCTGTGACACTTTTAAAGGAAAAATAAGCATTCGTGAATGAAAATGAACAGATGGTGATCAATAAAACTGCATTTTAAGAATGAGCAAAAAATAAAATGCTTAATAAAAACATTAGAAAAAACAATTTCTGAGATGGAATTCATATCAATTCTTTTGTAATTTTTATAGTATGATTATTCTGGGTCAGAAATGTAGAACTTAAAACAACCACTTCAGTATGAGTCGGTTTTCATATGTTTTTAAGGAGCAATGATACTTGGGTAACTTTCCTTTGCATGAAATAGACCTGGAGTTAGCTTGTCAAATGGTCTTGCAAACAGATACCTTGTGATAGTGAATTAACTGAAATTCATCTTATTCTTTCCTGTTTCTGCAGTGACTATAAGCTGTACAATTCCACAAAGCACCAGGCATTCGTCTGCTGCCTTAAGGACATATAAGAAAGAGATGTGCTACTTCTTAACTACCTCTGAAAAATATCAAATTTGACCACCCTTATCTAACTAAAGTCCTGTTGCGCTCACATAATATATTGTTAGTGAATATATATCTTTGTATCTATTCAATGACAATATTCATAAAAGATATTACACACATATAAATAAAACAAACATTTGGTGTTTTTCTGAAAGTGTTTTTCTATCTGTAGACATTAAATAATCTGCTTCCAGCTAAAGGAAAATCTAGAAAGTGAGAATAGTGTTTTCACAATTCCACTATCTTAACTAAAAATGACAACAAAAAATTTTAAAACTAAAAAAATCTCCTCGGGTTATGATTTTTAAGCAATGTTAATTCTTTTGGTGAGAAAACTCAAGTTATTAAACAAACAAAAAACCCCCACAAACTCATTTCTACATAAATTTCAGGTATATTTCATAAGCAAAACTGTCACTCTTTTTGGGGCTAGAAGCTCTAACATTGTCCAATAATCTTATTAAATACCTAAAAGAGAAACTAATATTGTCCTAAACGTTCCATCTGCTAGTAATTAATTTTTGAGGAAATTATCTTCCTCATCCTCCAACTTAGAATGCTATAATTTACGTATGGGTTTTATTTTCCTGTTTTTAATTTTCTTAAAAGAGACTGCCATGTGTAGAGTTAAACATCTTTGGTTGAACTTGAGTAAGAATGTTACTTCTTGTCTGGTCTTGGTTCTGTATAAGTGAATGTGAAACAGTTGCTGTAATGTGATGTGTAACATAAGATGATCTGGCTGGGCCTTTTCCCATTAAAATTGCATCCTTTCCTCATGGATATATTCTGTGTCAAGATAAGAGGAGCGTGTGTTTGAGAAAGCAGCGTATCAGCATCAACATTTTCTAAGCCACTTTGCCAAAATGAAAAGCTAATGCTTTTATAGAATTGGCAAGAATGAATACTTTAACTGAACTATTTAACCTATGACATTCATATAGTCAAGAGAGGAAAATAAAAATAATAATTGAGCAAGCAACAAAAGGCAGTTTGTAATTAGACATAAAAATAGATGAAACTACAGGAAAGCATTAAGAAAGCCACAAACTAGCTGTGTTAAATTTTTAGCTGTATAGTCAAGTAACAATTGTGAGCAAGAGTCACCTGGACTGGATAATGAATGAAGCTGTATTTATTTATTATATAAAATGGATTTATTTTTAAAAATATTTTTCCTTTATTGATTTTTGACTGGCCTGCCTCCTGCATGCCCCCCACTAGGGATCAGGCCCACATCCTGGGCATGTGCCCTGACTAGAAATCAAACTGGGACCTCTTGGTGTTTGGGTTGATGCTCAACCAGTGAGCCACACCGGCCAGGCACACAAAATGGAATTAAAACACCTTTACATTTTATTTCTGAATTAGCAACTTAATGATAATACTGAGATGAAAGGTCAGCCTCCTAACTCCATACTTTTTGTATTTTTGCCAATGAATATTTAGAATTACTTTAATACAGTGATATTCTCTCTATTCTCTCTCTCAAACTGTCTTGCTTTTCCATTATGTTCTCTCTTCGCAGTCTACTTGAGATATTCTTACCACTCTGCCCCTGAACAACATTATTTCTTTTTCTGGGTGACTTGGCTCAGAAGCAAACAGTTTGGTTTATATATATTTACATCTACCATTAGCTATCAGCATTAGCCATTGAGGGTGCTATTGTGATTCTCTCTCTTTTTCGGTTATTTCTGAATTGCTGAAGACTTCTTCTGTTCCTACAGGACTTGCAGCTGTTGAGCATGACTAAATGCCAGCTAAGTCTTTACCACAAAGCTCTGTAAATCTAAGTTGGGTATTCTCAGCTTCAGCACTATTGGCATTTTGGGCTAATTCTGTTGGAAAGGGCTGTCCTGTGCATCATAGGATGCTGGATGTTTAGCAATATCCCTGACCTATACCCAGTATATGTACCTCCACTCTAGTTGTGACAATCTTCAGACATTGTCAAATGTCCCCTGATTGACAACAGCTTATCTAGGCTGTATCTGAGTTTTCCAATCTAAGATCAATAATATTTCTTACCAAAAAAAAGGGATTCTCATGTCTATCACTGTTTAAGAGATAATAAAGTCTGACAAAGAACACTGAGGAAGAACAGTTTAACATGTCAAAAGCAAAATTAATTTTCTGAAAAGTGTCTCTTTCAATAGTCAGTGTATTAGAATGAGGGCTTTGAAAGAGGTACTTTTCTGTGAAGCTCTTTGTGCTTATACTATCATTTTCTACAGGAAGGAACCGAAAAGGCCAAGGAATAGTATAATCTCATCATACAGACTTAAATAAAAAGAACTTCTAGATAATTTATTATTAGACTTACAACTTCCAATGTGAATAGGTGGTACCCATCATTAAAAGCTCAAGATAGGAAAAGTTGCTTTCTCAAAATTATTTCAATGTTAACACCATATGAATCTTAGAAGATGCTTTCAAGATTTTAAAACTCCTACAGTTAATTTTTAGTCTTTAGCTGAGACTAGGTTATGCTCAGGTCTTTAGAAAAATTTCTAAATATTATAGGAATTTAGTTTGTATTTTTCAATCTTTAATTTTGTTTCCAATTATGGACCACCTCCTAAATTTTCCACATCTTTGAGAAGTGACAATCAAAATAAAACATAATACTCTAAAGAAAGCCTAACCTATCTAAAGGAGAAGACTTCCTTTTTTTTTTTTTTTTATCCTCACCTGAGGACATTTTTGCATTCATCTTCAAATAGAGGGAGAGGGAAAAAGGGAGGAAGAGAGAGAGAAACATTGATGTGAGAAAGACACAATGACTGGCTGACACCCACACGACCCCAACCAGGGCCAGGGACAAATTGCAACTGAGGTACGTGCCCTTAGTGGGAACCGAACCTGGGTCTCTCTGGACTGCGGGCCAACACTCTAACCGCTGAGCAAACCAGCCAGGGCAACAGACTTCTAAAAGTCTCCATCCTATATAAAGGAATTAGTTTAGAGAATTCAGGCAGTTGTCTTATTGGCTATTTACTTTATTATAAAGCCCAACAACCTTATGAAAAAGGTAGTTATGGCCCTGGTTAGTGTGGCTCAGTTGGTTGAGCACTGTCCTGTGCACCAAAGGGTCAGCCATTCGATTCCCGGTCAGGGCACTTGCCCAGGTTTTGGGTTCAGTCCCAAGTCAGAATGTGTGCTGGAGGCAACCGGTTATTGTTTTTGTTTCTATCTCTCTCTCTGGCCCTTCCTCTCTCTCTGTAATCAATATAAATATATTTAAAAGAAAAAAAAAGTAGTTGTGTATAAATTCAATGTTTTTTGAGGGATCATGCAAATAATTTCAAAGAGCACAAGAAAAAGTCACTTTTCAGTCAAAGTGGTGTAAGTACAAATATCCCAAATTAGTTGTTTTTTGAACAAGGCATGTTAAAAAGGGCGTACAATCAATTATTTAAGAGATTTGGTAAATTACAGTAATGCAATACATTTTAATTCATTCACTACCAACCATGTGAGAGTCTACTATGTACTTCTGGGAATTATGCTCAATGTTATATACATAGCAAAGTAAGACAAGAGTATATTGTCTAAACATAATATACTTAAGATGCTACTAATCCTATTATGAAAAGTTAAAAGCTAATCATATTTATGTTAACTTTAACCAGTCAGAATGAAGCTCAGCTATGTCCACATGGGTTTAACAGACAAAAATTAATGTTTTCTAAAGGCAACAAATAACATTATATGACTTAGCATAGAGCAATAAAATGATTATGTTAAGTAGTTGCTCAGCAAGCCTTTCATTGATGGCAAATTCATCCTTAATTATCAAAATAGTAAACATTATACAGAACAACATGCTATCTACTATAAGCATATGTGCATAAAACTAGACACATTTCTCCAAAATTCTTCTCAAAACTAGGAATGCATAATATGATATCTGAATTTCAAGAGAGACATTTCTCATATTTTCTATCTCGCTGTTAATAAAGTATCATGAGGTATATACCAAGTCTAGCTTTAAATAACATAAGGAAAACAATTTGGTAGAACTCTAGAAACTTTTGCAAAATTGCAGAAAATTAGGAAGCCTGCTGCTGAAGAAATGAAGGAAGATTATACAGAGGCACTTACCAATTCTGGCGCATTTCCAAAATATACCCAACAATCTGCATAGAATAAAAAAGAAAAAAGTAGCTATTGATTACTGCGGAAGGTAAATCTTTCTATCAGTATCAGAGAGGAAATTCATTATAGTAGTATTTTAACTTCTGGTGCTTTGCTTCAAAACTGTAATTTGATGTTGAGCACTTATGTAGGAAAGTAGAACACAATAATTTAACTACATCCATGTGTATAAACTGTTACTAACTGGAATGCATATGGTGTCAAAGATTAAACCTATGTACGGTACATTAATGCAAGAGTGGCAAAAATTTGCACAAGGGCTTACTATTTTGTCTTTAAAAAATGTAGTTCCATATTGAAATAATTTATAACCATAAACTCCAGTGATTGCATCTATATAACTATGCCACTCAATAAGGAAGACTACAAAAATATGTGCCTATGTTTTCAAAATAAGTAGAAAATCCTAGTGTAGGGACACTGCATATGAGTTAATTAAATATGGCATTTAAAACACATTCTGGCCCTGGCCGGTTTGGCTCGGCGGTTAGAGCATCGGCCTGCGGTCCAGAGAGACCCGGGTTTGGTTCTGGCTAAGGGCATGTATCTCAGTTGCAGTTTGTTCCCGGCCCTGGTTGGGTCGTGTGGGTGGCAGCCACTCGATGTGCACCTTTCACATCGATATTTCTCTCTCTCTCTTTCCCTCTCTCCCCCTCCTGCTCTATCTGAACAAAAAATAAAAAAATGTCCTCGGGTGAAAAAAAAAAACAACAACATAAAATAAAATAAAATACATTCTGGAAATAAAAAGAATTAAAATGAAGATGTCCATTTCAATTCATAAAAGAATATATTATGAATTAAATACATATGATATGGATACATCACTTATTTGACATATAATTAAAACATTGTAGATAATTAAATTAAAATATTAAATTAAAAATTAAAACATTGTAGGTAATTATTGTGTTGGTCTGACAGAAGAACAGAATAATAAATGGTGTTATGCATGGTTACAAATTAAGAGAAATTAACATTACTTATTCTAGAAAGTTAGGATCAGTGTAACAAAATATTTAAATTTCAGGGAAATTTATACTATTATTGCCCAGAGAGATGGCTGGCTAATGAATCATTATATCAGAATGATTCAGACTGAAAGAAAATACTGGTTCAGTTAGGTTCTATATAGGTTCCTCCTCTGAAGTGTAACTTCCCAACCTAAAAGCAAAAAGTCTATTACTTCACATGAAATGAAATGGGTAAATATACAAGTTATTCTGAAGGATGGACATTCTGACAGGTGAAACAATTTTACTATAACAATAAAAGGATAAAAATTACCAAGATATTCTTGAAAATAATATAGGATGATATAAGGGCCAGACTGTCTAAATTCAATCCTACATAATTGGCTGCATAACTGTGATTATTTTATCTCTAATAAACATTCAGCACTCAATAGGGCTGTTAAAAGAATTAAATGAGTTATTACACAGGTCTTCATGCCCTGGCTGGTTTGGCTCAGCGGTTAGGATGTTGGGCCCTCGGACCAACGAGTCTCGGGTTTGATTCCGTCAAGGGCATGTCCCTCAGTTGCATTCGGTTCCTGGCCCTGGTCGGGTTGTACGGGAGGCAGCCAGTTGATGTGTCTTTCTCACATAGATGTTTCTCTCTCTCTCTCTCTCTTCCTCCCTCCCTCCCACTCTATCTGAAGATAAATGGAAAAATATCCTCGGTTGCAAGGATTTAAAAAAAAAAAAAAAAGTCTTCAGAATAGTGACTAAAGGTGCTGTGTTTATTAATAAAAAGGCTAAAGGTACATGTGACAATAACTCCAGATAGCACTTAAAATTGGCTTACATTTCATCAAAAAAATGGAAGACAACTGGTTAGTAATCTGCAATGCCATGGTTCCTTGACTCTAAAAATCTACTGATTATAATGTCCATTGATTTAAGGCTACTCTGCTTGATGGACTCAGAGGCAGGACATCTGGGGCTCTTCCTTGAGAAGTGTAAAGTCCCACAGAACACAGTCTGAAACCAGTTAAGGTCTTTTTAGGTCTAATATTCTAAAAGTATCATCAGAAAGTTGGTAAAACACAGCATATTAAAAGCTATTTAAACATAAAAATTCTCCAACTTGGCCAATGAAAGATGTATCAGTATCACTTTGGCCTTTTTTACATATTTCCTTCTTAGACATATTTCTTAATATTTCAAATGCTATTCATTAAAACAAAGGAATTTTAATAGTTGGTAAAAACCTATGAAATTATGCTGCTTATTTTCTATGGCTACAAGTCAATAAGTGTATCTGTTGATAAAGCTATCAGGTCTATGAATATGGGAAACAAGACAAAGTAGCAATACTTTCTTGCTGCTTTTTGTTTCTATTATTTGAAGCAGCAAAAAATTTAGTTATTATTTTCAACAGTGAAGTCATCAAGAACTCGCTCTATGTAATCAACCCAGACAGCTCCTCTTTTGGAATACTCACTATAATAGAGGAAAGTTTATGATGAGTCTCATAAAAATATGTACCGTAACAAAAAAACAATGGTCTATATAAATTAGTTTTTATTAAAAAAACCTTTCAAACAGTTGACTGCATCAATATAAACTTTGAAATGTAAAAATAGGCATGTTATTTCTTTGGTCTTTTATGTAGGAGAAATATACTACTACTCAACCTCTACTGTAAGGTTGGCAGCCCTGAGAACTCCTTTTTTAATATAGCATGTTATGGATGTATTCCTGCCCCCAAGGAAGGAGGAGCAGACATATTTCCACATGCAATCTACTTTCTTTATAATAACACCAACAAAGTGTAAATATTCTATTCTACTATTACGTAATTATTCTTTAATGAAACAAACACTTAAAACTATCTTATTAGAAGTTATGTATTATATAAGAAATCCAAGCAATGGATCAATGAGAATGTTTACTGGTTTTTACCATGTGCTTTAACTATAAGAGCTTGGGTTACAGAGGAAATAAAGAAGGAAATAAAACTGGTTGTGTAAAGACTTCCACACAAGTAAGAAACAAATATAATTATGTAATTTCAACAAGTGGACAAAGTATTAAATTGAACACTGAATGAAGTGCAATAGGAGTTTAGAAAAAAAGGTGTGATGATGAGAGGGCAAAGTCTACATAGGAAGGGGGGCACTGTTATAAAAACTGATGGACAAACAGCAAGTTTTCAACTTTAGCAAATTAAATAAAACTTCTTAGGCCAACAGAGACAGATTATTTGTTTATTAGAACAGGATTACTGATTTTCAATATTCAAAACCAGTCAGAGTTCTATTTATTCCTTTACACATGTTTGAACAATCCTAGGAAATAAAAAGATAAAAAAAAAAAGCCAAATGATTTACATAATGAGATGTTTAAATTAATGTTAATTATGACTCCAAATATAGAATAGAAGTGAAGAAAAGAGAGCAGAAATTATTATTCTCGTAGTTGAGTATCTACTACCTGGCCTTTTGCAGAAACTTTTATTAGTGGAAAAGAAGTGTTTGAGATTATAGGATCCTAATTTGGCCTTTTCCTTCCTGTTAAAAACAAAAGGACGCTGGACATAATTATTCCTACATGAAACATTCTATTATTTCATCTTTTTATTTCTTAAAATCATTAAGTGGGGTACAGGCTCTTATCAAGAAAGAACTAAGAAAATTATTCATAGAAATTAATGAATAGGTAAGGCAAAGAAAAGAGTTTTTTTTTTATATATATATACTCTTACTTTGGTTAAATTCAACATTTCTGTATTATGAACATGGCACTCTAAAATGTTAATTCTGTGTGTTATGATATTAAGCTCAAATTTTTTGGGGGGGTATGAATCTAATAATTAAAAGGGATGGGACATGCCCAAGACTGTTGAAGAAAGCTAAAAAAATTTCTTCAAAGATGTCTAATTTATAATACAGACAGGGAGTTCATATGATTAGAGCAGACTTAGACTGGAGAGGGAATGTCTATATTATCATTTTTATAGACTCGATGCTTGCAAACTGGTTAATGCTTTCAAAATGTGAAAGCAACTTTACCAATTATTCTATTTTCTTTCTTTATTTTTTAAAATCTTTACCCAAAGGCATGTTTCCACTCATTTTCAGATAGAGTGGGTGGGAGGGAGAGAGGGAGAAACACATCAATGTGAGAGAGACACATAGATAGGCTGCCTCTAGCACAACCCCAACCAGGGCCAGGGATCGAACCACAACCTAGGTATGTGTCCTTGACCAGAAACAAACCTGCGACCCTTTGGTCCATGGGCGTACTTTCCAACTGCTAAGCCAAACAGGCCAGGGCCTAATTATCCTATTTTCTTAATCCCAGGAAAAGTATCTGTTGCATCTTTAAAAATATACATTTTTTTTTTAGTCTAATAAATTTCAGGTCACTTCTGATATTTATCTTTCTATTTAATAAAGTTCTGTGAATATAAAGTTTTCGATTTTTAAAACAAAGGAAGAAAATAACATAAAAAGTTATTACAAAACTAAGCTACATATATAAATTAAACTGTTTAATGACGTTTATAATAATTTACATTCAATGTCTATAAGAACTAATTTGGGTGATTAGACATCAACATACCCAGTTTTATTTCTGTCCAGGAGGCTAGGCGCCAGGGATCGGATATAAGCACAGGTACATATAAGCAGCAAGATTACAGTCAACAGACTCTGAAAATTGAAAATGGCAGACTAAAAAGAGAGAGAGAAAAAAAATTAACGTCAAAAGAAAAATTGCATAGGTAAAACATGCCTGACAAGTCCACATACAGAATCATACTTTTTTCTTCAAAAAGCCAAAAATAATGACATGTCAGGGAACACTTAAAACCAAAATAATAATGTATTCCAAGAGTGTACTTCTTTTTTTCATTCTTTGGGCTAAGGAGAAAATGTAACAAAAATTCTAAATTCAACTACTTTAAAAACACTACCACAAATGCCATGAATCCAAAGTAGTTCACCAAAGCTGAATCATATGTAATTAATACAGATGTCCCAGAGGCCCAGAATATAAGCAGGACATAGTCTCCAAGCTCTGCCAGTAGCTGGCTACATGGCCTCAACTGAATCATTAGCCTCTCTCTAAGTCGCTTTCACACCTGTACAACTGGGTGGAGAATGAGGAGGTAGACCAAATGTTGGCTAAAGTTTCTTTCAATTCTGAAATTATTTTAGGATACGAGTGCTTTAAATGTAAGCAACCATGTTCCATTCACTCACTCACTCACTCACTCACTCACACTAGGCTATTCAATCTTGGTCAAAGAAAAGCACTTGCACATTCACTTTTGAATCTGTAAAAGTTATTCAATAAATGTAACACAGGTAATTATAAGTTTCTAGTCATAGTGAAATGAAGATGGCTTACTCTTCAAAATTCCGCTCCAGCTTGATCTTTTCCAAGTCCTTTGAACTCATCTGCCTCCCTCTCCTATTTCATACAGAACTTTCCTTTCTGTTCTATAGCAAACAATACTTTTATTATAATACTCAACCCTGAAGAGTGGAGACTGTCTTATAAGACTCAATCTCCAGGGCCTGACTATGCACCTGACACACCCTAGAAGCCCAACAAGGGGTCACTGAATAAATAAAAAGTGCAGGAGTGCTACTGTATATATAAAAAGCCCAAAAAGAATAATCTAGTGAAAAACAATTACAGACCATAAGGAAATTAAGTAAGGTGGCTAGATATGTAATTAAAATATTTAAATCAATAGCCTTCATGATATATTATCAACCAGTTAAAAGACCTAATGAAAAAAAAGACTTCATTTACAATAGCAAAGTATCTAGAAATAAGCTTAACATGAAATGCGCAAACTGGCATCAAAAGAACAAAACTGACAAAACCTTAAAACATACTGAAGAACACAGAAGTAGAACAAAGTGGTACACCTGGTTTTTATACTAGAAGGCAACGTAATAAAGTTAATCTGTAAACTAAAGCCAACAATTATTTTTGAAATAGATAACTGATTTTGAAGTTCATATGAAAAAATAAATTAAAAAATAGCCAAGAGAATTCTAATAAAAGGAACTAGCCCTGTCAAAAATTGTCATAATATTTTTAACCTTTTATACACTTTTGGAATATTTATAAACTATTCAAAACATTAAAAAGAATTACACAGGTTATTTACCAATAATCCTTAAGGACAAAAACTGCTTACACACAATGCTAAGTGGTGGGAAAAGCAGCACGCACGATTTCACAACCATATCTTTAGCTGTGTAAACATTTATTCAAAGAAGAGATGAGAATGCAGTGATTATCTCTGTAAGGTTTTTAACCTAATTCTCAGCTTTCTTGGATTTCTCAAATTTTCTCAGTGTGAATTTTATGGTCTGAATAAGATAATCAAAATCTTTTGTATTATTTTAACAGTTGTTATTCTATGAAAATCACCTCTTCATGGATACAGTAAGGGTAAAACTTAATATGCATTGGACTTTAATTGAATTGGATTTTAATTTTGCATCTGTGAAGAAAAGTGACATACATTTTATAACTTGAATGAAATTAATGAATGAACTCATGAGCATTTCTAGATAGAAAACACAATAAGTATATCTTATAATGCTTACCTTTCAAAGGTCATATTTTGAACATGTATTTGATAAATACAGCATCTGATAATAACCTCATAAAATATAAAGCACAGATTTCTTTCCAGCCAACATAACTGAACATTCAGTATCTACCCTGGGGAAGGCTAGATGTGGAATTTAAAAAGTACATAGCCTAATTCCTTTATGCCAGGACTTTACAAAAGCTAACAACAACAATTGATATTCATTGAGTGCTTGTTTTGTATTATTTATCCTCGCATATGATGTTATTAATACCCTTATTTTATACATTAGACAAAAGAGGCATACAGCAGTTATAATTGAATTAGGACATATCTTTTAAAAACTAAATAGCAACTCACTGTAGCATATGTGACTACTGAGACATGCTGATAAAAAAAAGTGCTGTTTTGCCCTGGCCGGTATGCTCAGTGGTCAGAGCGTCAGCCTGCGGACCAGAGGGTCCCTGGTTTGGTTCCCGCTAGGGGCACATACCTCAGTTGCAGTTTGTCCCAGGCACCAGTTGGGGTCCTGTGGGTGGCAGCCACTAGATGTGTCTCTCTCATGTCAATGTTTCTCTCTCTTTCTCCCCTCTCTTTCTCTTGCTCTATCTGAAGATAAATGTAAAAAAAAAAAAAAAAAAAAAAAATGTCCTCGAGTGAGGATAAAAAAATAGTGCTGTTTTTATCAAGAAAAGTCAGAAAAAGCTTTGAGGAGAAAGCAGGAATGGAATTAAACCTTGAAAGAGCACAATTAGATGAGCAAAGAATAGAGCAGGCTCCAGAAGAGACAAAAGCATGTAAAACATCCCTACAGAATCAGAAATTTGCATGCTCAGAGAATAATGTACAGATTTATTGTATTAAGCAAAGGATTTATGCAGTGAAGTGGCTGGAAAATAAATTTGTAAAGTAGGTTTATCATCTTCCTTAATGGAATATTTAAATTCATTATTTTGCAATGTGTACTTTTTCCTTCCTTGAATGTCTTGCTAAAGAAACATGCTTACACGGTGTCTGTGACTGGTTTCTAAATCCAGTGTGTGTGGTGAACGGTGTGGGGTTGATGAAATGCTAAGTATATGAAGCTTCATTGTACTCTTCTTTCTACCTTTGTATGTTTGAATTTTAAATAATAAAAGATTTTAAGAGGCACTTAAAACATGCCTATTATTAAATAAGTGGGATGTGTTATATACATTTGTATGTAAAACCATTTACAAATGAAAATCACTTATAAGTATGCAATATATAATACATACAACTTTGTTCCTGGGGTTTATAGACCCTACAATTTAAACAAATAATCTTAGGTGGTAAAGTCTTTAAGATGTACTCAGACTGGACTAAAGAGCATTCAAGCTTATACAGTAGACATTAGTCTACCACTGCTTAGCCTACCTAAGCATTCTGCCTAATGCTTAGCATCTGTTGGACTGTGACATAAAATTTTAGTCTTAAGGTTAAAGGAAACAGATGTTCCTGTTCTGTAGAAAAATAATTGGGATTTTAAATAAGAAAAGGAAGACGCTAAGAAAAAAGAAAGCATATTTGATCACAACATGAAAAGATGATAAAAAAGGTAATAAGGGAAGTAAAATTAATTTACTGTGTTTAATTTTTTTCAGATCTTTTAAATCATTAAATCTTTTTCAAGGTATTCTGAATTTTTGCACATTTCTATCTAGTTTTACCTGCCTGGTGAACTGACTCAAACTGCTGGTCTCAACTCAAGAGTTAACTCCTCTGTGAAGCCTTCCCTGTAACCCACTCTTCACACAAAGCAGAGTCAGGATCTTTGTATAAATATATATACATCAAACTGTATTGTACTTGTATCCTTTATTTTACTGAGGTTTTTTTAAAATAATTTTTTATTTATTTTTGTTACAGATGTTTCTCCTTTTTTTCCCCATTGACACCCTCCCCCCCATGCCCCTCACCCTATACCTGGCTTTGTTGTCCGTGTCCATCGGTTATGTGTACATGCATATAAGTTCGGTGGTTTATCTCTTCCCTCCTCCCTCTACCCCCTCTTCTGAGGTTTGTCAGTCTGTACCCTACTTCCACGTCCCTGGTTCTACCCAATTCTTCAGACTGTTATGTTCATTATATTCCACAAATAAGTGAGATCATGTGATATTTGTCTTTTTCTGCTTGGCTTGTTTCGCTTAGGATAATACTTTCCAGGTCCCTCCATGTCGTCACAAAGGATAAGAGATCTTTCCTTCTTACAGCTTTATTGAGGTTCTTAACAAACCCTGTTACTGTTAAACAAAATAGTGCACAGTAGTCACTGAAAAATGCTGAATGAAGAGGAACTTGAAAACAAATAACATTTTAACAAATGCCAAGAGCATACGTAGATTCCAACTTAACAATGCAGGTTATTTAAAAAATGTAGATCAGCCCAGCTGGTGTAGCTTAGTGGATTTAGCGCCATCCCATGGGCTGAGAGGGCTAGGTTTGATTCCTGGTCAGGGCACATGACTGGGTTGCAGGTTCAATCCCCAGTAGGGGGCGTACAGGAGGCAGCCAACTGAAGTTTCTCACATCAATGTTTCTCTCTGTCCCTTCCTCTCTCTCTAAAAACATATCTTTAAAAAAGTGTAGATCTGACTGCGGTGTATTTTAACTATTAGGTGAAACCTGCACACACTCCTTTGCATTTATATTTACTTGTCAGTGATAGGAAAAATCCAAAAAAAGAACCAAATATCCTTGTTTATGGTAAAGGGCCTAGACTGTACGGTAAAATAAAGGTCTGAGGTAATTTCCTTTCAATATCTACATCTTTTTGTATCACAAACTAGAATTCAGAGAAAGTTCTATCAAGCAGCTTGCCTTAAGGTGCTTGCATACTGGACACTGTGTATCCTTTTGCTTACACCGAATTTGTAAGAGATAGACACCTTTAAAAGGTCTGGATGACTAAGTGGGCACACTGGCTGGCAGAAAATTCTAGAACCTCAAACAATTCTCTAATCTCAGGTTTACCTAGTTTTCCATGAGGACACACTGTGACAAAGGCAGGCGGTTATATACTGGCATGCTATCATTTTAATATAGCTACATGAAACGAACATTAAATAATGCATATTGAAACTTAGGAGTTAT